CAGAAGCACTGGCGGGGTTTGGGAGCCTCCTCGGGGCAGCCTCACCGAGAGATGGTTTTCAGTGCAAGTGGGAGATGGTTTCTTAGTGGTCCATTTACAGTAAACACAAACCAAACATAAATACCAGCGAAATATTGTTAATTATATGTTGTGAACATAGACAGTTTGTATAATATTGCCTCTTTGGTATAATAGTATAATAAAATAATAGCTCAGACTGTCTCCATAATGAGGGACACACACACACACACAATACATGTTTTGATGATGCCGCTGCTGTGGCTTTTGTGGTTCTTCACAGAATTGTATTTACGTCACGCTTTGTGACAGATCATGAGGACATGAAAATGGGCAGAGTCCTGACAGCTTTTAACTGAAGGACTGAATATTAATCAGTTTTTAAAACTTGTTTTCAGGTGAATATTTAGACATTCTGGCAATTTCATGTGATAGTTTTGATGAGAATGTCAACGTTTTAATTGGCCGTGGTCAAGGAAAGAAGAACCATGTGGAAAATCTGCAGAAGCTGAGACAGTGGTGCCGAGAGTATGCTGTTGCTTTCAAAATAAATTCAGTGATCAACAGATTTAATGTTGAGGAAGATATGAATGAGCAGATCAAGGCACTCAACCCTGTGCGCTGGAAGGTAAGAAAGTGGTGTATATCATAGGTTTCCTGTTCAGAGAAAAGTAATGATGGAGTTCTGGAGTCGCCTGAAACTCTAATGACCTCAGTCACATCTCCAGCTCCAGCCTGGGCTAGCGTTAGTGGACTTCTTGTCAGCACTACATGACAAATGTTTCAGCATATATAGATCTAGTTTTTTTACGATATTAAAAGTAAGATAGAAGGTCTTTAACATTTGAAAATGTGTCATGGTGTCGAGAAAATGAGGAAAAGTTAGTGTACAATGATACATTAGAGTTAATATATCAGCAATATATACGTGTACATTAGACATTAATGTTCTTTTATAGAGTGTTAGTGGTTAGTGTGCATATATTATATTTTCTATGAGAAATGTGTTAAATACATTATGTTATCAGCTTGAAACCGGATAGAGATAATGTGACTTATAAATATGGAAAAACTTGAGGAATAATTTCTCATTATTTGCTTCATGGAAATTGGTGTATATGCATTATTTCCCAGAAAAAAAAAAATCACTGTGAAATCTTGGTCCTACTAAAGGAGTGTAAGGAAAATATGACGTACATTTTAATATTTTATCAAGCTTCCTGGCCTACTTTCTTACTGGGGTTACAGAGCATGTTGATGGCAAAAGCACCTTTTTTCCCCCAAAGTCTGAATGTGGTTGAGGACTTGGCCATTAGAAGGAAGCTGTTAAGTTGATGAACTATTGCATTTTGTTTCTGGGGAGTCTTCTCTATCTTTTCTGTGACCATCTGAAGCTTGTTAAACTTACAGTCACAAATCAGGTTAAAATCTTCAAAAATACAGATTGACTTGATAGTGTGCATTGTACATAGTACTTACTAGCATTTATAATACAGCCATACTATTTGAGGTTCAATCAAAAGTTAATTTGAGCTTTTATTATCTATGCCCTTATTAAAACCAGAACAGTTAAGATTTCTGTGGAAACCTGGTCAGGAACCATGACTGTATAATTACGTTTAGAACTATGTAATGTTAAGTTGCTAAAAATAAATCTGCACTGTGCCCTTCGTATAGTATTCACTTACCACAATTTGTGTCAGTGTGGCTCCACTGACAGAAAAATTAGAAGACATCACTACTGAGACAACTGAAGGTTTTTGTCATGGTGACAGTCTCTTATACTCAAGACAAGTGAAAACGTCAAATCTTAACCAGGTGCCTTTTGTCTTCAGGTATTCCAGTGCCTGCTCATCGAAGGGGAGAACAGTGGTGAGGATGCCCTGAGAGAAGCAGAGAAATTTGTTATCAGCGATGAAGACTTTGAACAATTCCTGGATCGCCACAAAAATGTCTCCTGTTTGGTACCAGAATCTAATCAGAAGGTAAAATTGAAACTGTCCTTTTGTAACTTTATTTTGAAATAAAGTTGGAAAGATAGAAAAGAACTAGAAGCTTTCATGGCAGTTAACACCTTCACTATTAGTATTGGCTTAGAAGAGGTACAGTACAACTTTGTCAGCAACTGGTTTTGTTATGGCGGAAGCCAAGGTTTTTAATTTTCTTTAAGGCTTTTTACTGAGCACAAAGTTAATAACAGAAGAGTGAAAACAAGATCCCAATCCTGTGGAAGCTAGCGGGAGTCCTCTCACAGATGCTCAGTGAGATGGATGTGTAAAGTATCAGCAAAGAAACTGGAGAAACTGAGTTTTCCACAGCTAAGTGGTGAACTCTAAACAGTAATTAAGCCCTTTGAATTGAGTAGCTCTTCCCCACCAGGGCACAAGATCCTGAAAAGGTTGAATGTTAATGTAAACACACTTTATACACTAAGCATGGTTTGTAATAGAGATTCACCATGATGTTAGGCTATGGCGGTGTCACCGACCTACACAAAGTAAGATATCATCACAGTCGCATTATATTGGGTATTGAGGAACAAGAACTAGTATTTTTGACTGACACATCTTACTAGGTACCCCCCACACACAATAAAGTCGCATTTTTAACGTTGTCTATCTGAACTCCTTTGGGCGGCACATTCAGGCTCTGTATTCACGAGGAGACTCCTTGCACTACTGCAGAGCCCAGCAGTTAACTTGACAAGCTGCCATCCAGTTTACGTTAGATGCAGTAAAGTGCCTAAGGGTGGAGCTCAGGATCTTTTGTAAGATGCCTACAGACCCTATACATGGCATGAGGAGAGTTAGAAGACTCACTGTTAAGAAAGTTTATGAACTGACTGAGGAGATACTAAGTTGAACTAAGTTCAGGACCATCTCGCCTTCCTCTCCACAGATTAATACTCTCCATTTACAGTTTACTTTTTAATGTATAGAGAGCTCAAGTGAGCAGACTGGGTTGCCTCTAGTATGAAGACATAGACGTGCAGTCTAGTGTTTAAGCATTCGGTGGGAGAGAGCACTCATCAGAGGTGTTTAGATGAGAACCCAGAACTGTTTCTACATTTTTTCCCATGTAAGAAGTCCTACAAAAAAAGAATAGACTTCCCTCAGTAGATTTGGTTCTAGAAGACTGTTTCTGATTTCTTTTAAACCTATATGAAAGATGGGCACCAAATTGATCAGATTTCCTTTTCTACACAGCAGCAAGCTCCAGCTACCTAGAGAATTTTAGGGAGGGTCATGTAGGACATGCCCAGTTAGCTGAGCAAACATGTCTTATTTCAACTATTGGCCTATTTCCTGGTGCAGACCTGAGAGCTTTTTGAGCTGGGAGATTACCTTTGGAGATTACTAGAATGGAATTTTGCTTTGTATATTAATTTAGTTTTTTCTTTTGATCTATTACAGATGAGGGATTCATACCTCATTCTGGATGAATACGTAAGTCTTTGTTTGATACTTGGTATTTTTATGCTAATATATGCATGTATGAAACAGTGATAACCAATTCTATTTACAGTGCATTCTATAAAATAATTTTACCATGTAGTACAAGGAAGAGATGTAATTTTTTCCCATCAAACATACTGAGAACTTGAATTTAAGTATGGCCTAAGGAGGAGTTGCCATTAGGTTGCATGCATGATCATTGCATCACGAATCTTAAAGTGTAGATGTGTATCTTTGCAGGATGTCTTTGCTGTTTTTCTTTAACTTAAAAATACAGGACTTGTCCTGAAAGTTAAGTTTCAAAGGGCCTACTTAGTTTACATGTAACTGAAGAGCAAAGATTTAATCTTCAGGAACTATGGTATAGTTTTGTTCCTGCTAAGATGTGTCAGCGTGTCTAACCGTGAGCTTCTGAGCCTTCTAAGGACTACAGTGAAACTGTTCATGCACTTACATAGGCTTTTGTGGGATTGCAGTGCAACTCATTTAATTCTGTAGAAAAATTAAGCTTTTACAAATTGACTTTCTAATGTCTTATCTATTGATGTTCCAGATGCGTTTTCTAAACTGTAGAAATGGACGGAAAGAGCCTTCCAAGTCTATCTTAGATGTTGGCGTAGAAGCAGCTATAAAATTCAGTGGATTTGATGAGAAGATGTTCCTAAAAAGAGGAGGAAAGTATGTGTGGAGTAAAGCAGACATGAAACTGGACTGGTAACGCAATATACTGAGTTTGGGCAGGTGCATTATGTAAAGAAAATGGGTGTGTATATATGTGCATGTGTATATGTATCTAATGCTTTTAACTACACTTGGTATATTATACAGATTGATGTTCAGTATAACTCTATATGTGAATGTGTTAAATGTTTTTAGAATGTATATCATGTTCTCATCTATTGTTTGGTTGAACATTACCAAATACCTACAAAGCTTTCGTATAAATAGATCTCTGAAATCATTGAATGAAGGACTTAACGGGCAAGCCGTTAAGGTGATGTCACGTAGGAAGCAGTTTTAAGATAATACATAAGTGTGCATGCCAGAAAATAAACCAAAACCCATCCCAATCTCTAATTCATTATAAACAGCTGTAATGATGGGTAAGTGGAAACTCTTACCAGGCAACGTATTCTGCCTCGCTCGTTTGGAAAGGTAGATTGCAGTTCCTCACTCGATCACAAGAGGGCCAGCTAGCAGCCCTTCGGAAGCAGCCCCTGCCTTTTTCAAGGGTAATAGAGGGTCAGAATCTAGGAATCATTATCTGTAATAGTATATTTAAAAGGAAATCAAGATGAAAAAATTGGCAATTTTCGTTAAGTTTTACCTGTAAAAGTTGTTCTTCTCCCTCTCCTCCATATATACACACGATATTTGCAAAAAATGTTGGGGGATGTAATTTTCTGTGAAAACATATTTTTAGTCATGAAAAAATATTATATTTGTCCTAAAACATAAAAGTGCATTTTACCCAATGACAAGCAACTTCTTATTTCACATTGGCAATGACTTTAGTTCTGTTTACAGTGAAAACAATGTTTGCATTTTATTCATAACCTCCTCCATTTTCCTTTTATCTGCAACTTTTGATTTAATATTTTTAACATTTTTTTTCTCTCCCTGTACGTACAGTTCTGATGAAGATTCCTTTTGAAATTAATTAATACTATGTAGCACACCAAAGACGTACCTTCTGTTGCACACTGGCTGTGTTATTTGCATGCTTTTTATTTTGCTAAGCCATGGAATACAAACAACAAAGTTCATGTATCATGTAACCTTGTTTTAAAGGTTGCTTGGCTTAGTAATCATTCTCACTTGCTGGTTACAAACATGCAGGTATTAAGTGAAACTAATCGGGTTTTGTGATAGCTGTCTTTGATTTTAAGAGCTGGCAGCATCAACATAAAATAAAGAAAAGTCAAAACCAGTAATCTAATATGCTGCCCTCCTTCTTGGTTTTCTGGCAATTTTTATGGCTTTATAATTACAGTGTTCCAAATCTAACTAGTCCCATCCACTCCAAAGCTCTGTATGAAGGGCATGGGGGATAAGCATTGCACAAAGAAGTGAGATGGCACTACTCATTCTTACTGTCCATTGAACTCGATGCCTGGACTGTCTCACACGTTTAAATATTTGCAGCAGTTGGGAGCCAGCATACATTAAATGTACCAGGTAGAGAAAATTACACCTTCTTTCCTTTTTCTGGAAATGCTAGTTGATTTTTTTTTAAAGAGTTTTTCAAGATAAATGTTTTGCATTCACCTAATTCACTTCAAAGCTGAAGGGGAAAGCGTGTAAGTAGGAGCTGCTACTTCTGAATAAAGGAAGGTGCATCTCTGAATACACTGTGAATATGCTTCCATTTATAATTCCTTCAGTTTCTATTTTCACTATCCTAACTGTAAATATACTGTTTCAGTGGTGCTCTTTTGCACCACATTGCATTTTGCACTCACAACACTTTCTAGACGCTTAAATTTCAGTATTTTTTTTTCTTGTATTAATGCTAAGTGACATTTAAAATGTGGCCCACACACATTAACCCCACAGTCTTTTGGCAGCTGTTTTGCTGACCTCAGTTGGAGTTCTGCCTGAGCAGCAACTATGGGCAGCGCAAATTTATGTAACTGTGGGGTTTGACTTCCTCTGCGTCCCCATTGCTCAAATGTTAGATCTACCCTCTTCTCAGCATCTACGCTGCATGATAGAAAAGAAGCATTTTCCTTTGCTGCTGGCTCAGTCCCAGCATGGGGAAAGATTTAGTGCATGAATGTACCACTAAATCTACCAGCTTGCTGCTTCTGCAGAAAATGCCAGCTGTATCACAGCACGCAGATGTGAGGTGCACAAACTCCCATTCAGATCCAGAAATCCTGCCATTCTTTGCTTTGCATTTTTCTTTGTAAATGGCTATTCTTTTGCTGCAAGAGATCCTCTGTGCCTACGGAGGAAGCTGCAGGATAAACAAACTGGGGCTGAAGATGTGAAAATCCAGTAAATAATGTAAAGACATTGAAGATGGCTTTTATCAGAAGGTTCTAAGTTCTTCTTAAAATCTTAAGGATTTTACATCGCCTCTTGCTACCATACATAATTAAGAAAAAGTTTCTGCTCTGTGTGATACTCTTTTCCAAAGGAAATGCCAATCATGTATGTTGGAAATGGAGAATTTGACATAACACAGTTTGACAGACAACAGTTGGTATTTTTATATGAAAAATTCATTTTTGTGTAAAATCTCAAAAATTTTTTTGGCTACAGCTTGACTAACCTAGTTCTTTTTTTTTAATCTATAAACACAGTTTGCGTTGGACCAAAACTGGATTATAGGCTTTCATTCTGTAGTTGGGCCTAACCTTCAGCATGGGACTAGAAAAATGGTACTGAATTCAATAGGGCTACTCCCAATCTTAGAGATTACTTGCACATTGTGACCCTGAAGAATCAGGATTTAAATTTAAGTCCTGTAAACACAGATATGCTTAATTGTATTTTCATGTGTAATCTCATAGTACTGCAGCTAAGCACTTGCTAAAGATGTTGAATTGGGAAGGAACTTACACTGTAGTTTACTAGCATTATGCAGCTTTGTAAAATTTGCAGAGAATGAGCATTTGGGAGAATGAGTTACTTCCGTTAAAATCATCATGAATATACCTTGGGTAATGAATAAAACTGTCATCTAAGATGCCCTCTTTCTCAATGTGAAGGATGCTTGATATATTTGAGTGTTACAAATGATGAATTTTTAAATGATACTGTCACATAATTAGTGCTAAATATTTAATGTGTCGCACATTTCAATAAATGTTTCTATTTTCTTAAGTTTGCCTATAATTTCTTTTTTTTTAAATATAACCCAGAACCATAATAGCAGAATGTGCATTCACAAGAGATCTGTAATTCTGGATGTAGTCTGTATTTAGCACAGGGGGCTGCTTGCACTGTGCCAAGGGCAGCATCTAGGCCGAAATGGAGAACAATAGTGATGATTCTCCTTGTGATGAAAAGCATTTGTTACACGCTTGAGTGGACTGGGCTGTTTTGGGAGAAGACAGTTAAAATACCTCGTGCAATTCAGATGACAGCCATTACGAAAGACACAACTATCCATAAATATCTGAGGAGAAAAACCCATTATCCTCTGTTATGGTAGATAAGAGAGAAAAGCTAGTCCATTTAAAGACAAGCGACTTCTCAAGCTCATCTCCTCATCTTCAGGCTGCAGTATAAACTCTTGTACTAGCCAACCTGAAATTGAGCTTTTTACAGCAATTAGTTGTGTGCGGAAGGAGGCTTTGCATTCCCCCCCCCCCCCACCTCCGGCCTTTGGCAGTTTTTTTGCCATATTCTAGTGGCGCGAAGGTGCCCAGGAGCAGAGCTGCAGCAAGGAGCTTTACGCCGCCTGCCTTCCCCGACCCCACGACCTCCGCAAGGTGCCCCCCAGGGGCTGCTTGTGTTGTGCCACCCCTGCTGCGGCTCGGGCAAGGGCGCAAGCTTGCGTTTTACTAAATCAGCCAGACAGCTCCTATTCATCTCTCCAGGTCGGTGTTTTTCCTTTTGTGTCTCCGTGCGTTACGGAAGAAAGCCG